CTGGCCCGCCTGCCTAACTCAACCGGCCCAGCAAGGCCTGATTAGCTTGTGGGTTTCGCTGTTTCCCTTTTGTGTTGCGATGTTCCAATGAAAGATTTCCGTCAATGCTGGCACTGAAGTGTCTCGAGAAGTTCTATGCCAATGTGGCAGGCATAGCCAAAGCTTTAGAGGCCGAAACGCAGAAAGCTGCGGAAAAATTAGTCGAGGCTGAAGTGCAGAAAGCTGCAGAAAAATCAGCCAAGCCAAGAGCCAAGAGAGAAGAGGAGGCCAGGCAGCCCTCATGTTTGCAGAGAAGATGATCATTAGGAGCTAAGGCCAATCGAACAACTCCATTCATCTGTGTTCTGTTTAAGTTCAATCTGTGTTGTTCCTTGTTTTTGATGTTCAAGTCAAAGTTTTCTCCTCCGTTGCGGTGGGTACTTGTAACTGTTTCTGCTGTGCAGTTCTAACAACAAAGCAAGTTGATACGTGGCAGTAGAGGTTAACTCCACAAATTGAACGAACCCAAGCAACTGTACATTGTTAACTAACCAATAACAGTGAACAGAGAGAACGTCTTGACGAACAAACATTTTCCAGCAGCTCTGCCTCAACTGTAGGGAAAAATGGGTTCAACTTCGACAGCAAGACAACCTGGGGGAACACTGATTAGAATCTCATATTTTCCTGCTTGTGGTGGTGCTGCTGCTGCTGCTGGCTCCTGGTTTCCATTCGTATCCGTACCGGCACTGGCGTGCACTGGTGTGCATGTGTGCCCAAGGAGGAGGATTCCAAGAAGCGGCCAAGCAAGAAGGGGAGGAAGAAGAAAGGCCAGGGTGAGATACTTCACGCACTGTAGGTGTTTTTTTTTGCCCAGTCTGTTTCTGGAGATTATCAGTTTTGTTCAAAGTTTGGGTCCACCCCCTTCCAGCTCCAGGATGATGGTGTTTTCATGTTCTTTTTTGTATGCCCAAATCTTCCGATATTGTGTTTGGCGGGGTTGTGAGGCTCCAGCCATGTCTCCATTGTGTTCTCATTTGGTTTAGTTTTCAATCATGTCTCAGTCTTCCCAAAGTGAGCGATCTTGGGCTATCTCTATAGTTTGTGATCTAAATGCTCATCGGAGCACAGACATGTTACATGATGGCTTTCCAAATGGCTAGCACTCAGCCTTCCGAACAGTTCCTGCTCGCAGGTGAAGACGAAGACTTGCCCGAAGAGGGCCCCCGTGGCGAGTCAGGCTGGACCGGTTTCCATCGGCAAACATGTGGTAAACACCCAGCTGTTTCCCAACTGGGTCAGATTTCCACACCTGAAGGCCCTTAAAGCCTTAAGGCCTTATAAATATTGGGTGGGGAGAGGAGTGTGTGGGATCAGCGCGCACCCCCAATTCAAGAAAAGGGCAATGACGAAGACGAAAGCGTGCGGAATCATTATTGCCTGCGCTCGAAATTAGACATGCGGCAAAAGGACCCGCTGGGAAGGGGCGGAGCTCGAAGCCATCTAGCTGTTGAAACGGCCTGCATCGTCATTTCTTCGTAGCCTCACAACTGCGTGTTCCGTGCCACGCTCTGTGCAGTGAAGTTGGCCTGGGTGAAAAGAAAGCTAGTGGACAACATGAGAGACACGAACGTATATATTTTTCACTAATAGCGATTTTTTGCATATAGATATCAGAGTTGTAATGAAAGAAAGTACATGGTCAAGAAAAGCGTTGGAGACACATTGGGCAAAGCACACACTTAAGTCATCCTATGTGTGTAATGTCGCTTGCTGGATCATCCATCAAAGACGTGGAGCCATGGAACCGGCAGACGCCGAAAACTTTGGCGACAACGATAGGCGCCGGGCGCCCAAGGCTGAGCAGCACAGGGATGGTTCGTGGGCAGTGCCAGCAAGTCTAGGATCGTTGACTTTGCCAATCTCATCTTCCATAGCGCGATGGATCGAGGCAAAGCGGGCCGAGATTGAGCGTAGCTACCAGCATTGGTCTCAAGTGGACTATTGGGTCTGGAGCCGCAACTATTCCTTTCGTGACATCAGTGCGTGGCCAGTGGATGCTGTACCTGTTTTTGAAACCGAAAAAGTTCTGTACCTTTTGGGTACTTTGAAAGCAGCCGCTTCATTGTCAGATGTGTGTGCAGGGTACTGTTGCCGCGTGGACACGCTTGTGACGCTGTGCGCCGATGATTTGAAAGTCACAGGCGCTCCATGTGATTGGCGAAGTTTTTGCACAGAACAAAATGTCTCGCAATTTGTGTATTCCTACCAGGACCTCACAGTGACATGTTCGCAAAATCCAGTCTTGTTTGTGCAACAAGCCAATCTGGCGACCAAACTTTGGGAGACCTTGCGTCGAGATTTGACGGCCAATCAGACACATGTGCAGAAACACGTGGTTCTCTTTCATTGCTTTGGATGTATTGATCGCAGCTCTGCAGCTTTGGGAGCCATGTTGATTGCAATGCATGGTTTCTTGACAGATGAGGCCATTGCTTGGCTCCTGTGCGCGCGCCCGGCCTTGAGGCCATGGAACAAAAGAGACGCTGTTCTTTGGGCTTTACATGAATGTGCAGAGCTCCATCGCCCATCATGTGAGATGCGTGACAACCGGTCGTTTGACGAACAGTGATCGTTCAAGGATCATTGCCTGCGCTCGAAATAGACATGCGGCAAAAGGACCTGCTGGGAAGGGGCGGAGCTCGAAGCCATCCAGCTGTTGAAACGGCCTGCGTCGTCATTTCTTCGTAGCCTCACAACTGCGCGTTCCGTGCCACGCTCCCACGCTCTGTGCAGTGAAGTTGGCCTGGGCGAAAAGAAAGCTAGTGGACAACATGAGAGACACGAAAGTATATATTTTTCACTAATAGCGATTTTTTGCATATAGATATCAGAGTTGTAGTGAAAGAAAGTACATGGTCAAGAAAAGCGTGGGAGACACATTGGGCAAAACGCACACTTAAATCATCCTACGTGTGTAATGTCGCTGGATCATCCATCAAAGACGTGGAGCCATGGAACCGGCAGACGCCGAAAACTTTGGCCACAACGATAGGCGCCGGGCGCCCAAGGCTGAGCAGCGCAGGGGTGGTTCGAGCCCAGTGCCAGCAAGTCTAGGATCGTTGACTTTGCCAATGTCATCTTCCATAGCGCGATGGATCGAGGCAAAGCGGGCCGAGATTGAGCGTAGCTACCAGCATTGGTCTCAAGTGGACTATTGGGTCTGGAGCCACAACTATTCCTTTCGTGACGTCAGTGCGTGGCCAGTGGATGCTGTACCTTTGAAACCGAAAAAGTTCTGTATCTTTTGGGTACTTTGGAAGCAGCCGCTTCATTGTCAGAGGTGTGTGCAGGGTACTGTTGCCACGTGGACACACTTGTGACGCTGTGCGCCGATGATTTGAAAGTCAGAGGCGCTCCATGTGATTGGCGAAGTTTTTGCGCAGAACAAGGTGTGTCAGCAGTTGTGTATTCCTACCAGGACCTCACAGTGACATGTTCGCAAAATACAGACTTGTTTGTGCAACAAGCCAATCTGGCGACCAAACTTTGGGAGACCTTGCGTCAGAGCTCCATCGCCCATCATGTGAGATGCGTGACAACCGGTCGTTTGACGAACAGTGATCGTTCAAGGATCATTGGAGACCTTTTTTGAAACGCGTCGTTTGACGACGCCCGGTGGAGAAAAATAGGGGCTGCGCGCCATTCCCTCGGAAGGAAAGAAAAGTTGATCCTCATTAATAATTGAAACGACGCATTCACTTGTTGGCCAGCTTTTTGACATCCTGTTTGAAGTGGATGAAAGCTCGACAGTGAGGTGAACTGGGCGGACGTGTGCGTGCGGAAGCTTGGTCCCTGTTATACAGGTGTTGGTCGACTTAGACGTGACCATGTGGAAGCGTGTGCCGGTCGCCATGAAAAAGCGTTTGCCGCCAAAGCTTTATTTTTCAAGCATTTGACGATGTGACCATAATTAGTAGATCCGGGAAGAGAAGGTCATTGAAAACTCGTTGGCTTTGGACCCAGCCTCTGATGTCAGGAGAATTTGCCCTTCGTGTGGGGCAAGCACTTGCAGCTCAGAGCTTGGAGCCATCTAGGTGTTGCAATTTCCTAATTCTGGAGAAGATTCAGCAAAGGTGATGCCATTGAAAAATTCACAGTTGGTTTTGCTCACAGATGATTGCCTCCTTCTGTGTCATTTTTGTTATATTCTTTGCTTTCTAGATTGCTTGAGAACGCTGAAGACAGGAAGCCTTGCCAAGAGAAACGTATCGCGCGGCCGGGGTGCCGAAAGTCTTTTGTCTCAACTTCTAAAACAGGACAAACCCTTTCCCCCTAGAATCCTACATGCAACATGTTGACGCCTAAGTTGCGGTCAGATTTCCACACCTGAAGGCCTGATCAATCCGCCCGCGCCGAAGGTGCCGGTGCGTTTTAGAAGCTTGCGTAAACCGCAAGAAATCGGCTAGATTGAATCTTAAGGTTTAGCTTGGGGGGGGCCCGCTTTGAGTTACGAAATGCTGTGTCTTGCAATGTTTTTGAAGATTGATATTTACATGGAGCCAAACGTTCGCGACGCCGGTTATGCCGGCCGGGGGAGATTGTGCTATCGACGTCGCGGACGCATGTGCAACCCGGGACACTGCATTATTCACACCGTGGGTGTGTTCGTCCGTGTGTCCAGCCCGACCGAGACACAGACTGACAGACCGAGATAGACCGAGACAGACACACCGAGACAAACGCACCGAGACAGACAGACCGAGAGACAGACAATTGACATAGTGCGTGTGTTCGTCCGTTTTCCCATTACTCTGTGCGGGCGGCTTCGACCGCGAAGCGGTGTGAATATGTTAAATTTAAACGGGTGTGGAAATCTGACCGTGCCGTACCTGCCACGCTAAGTGGACGTGTCAATCCGATCCGCTGTAGACCGCAAGTGTCATGTTGGAACAGAGTAAGACGCGCAAATTTTAGGGCTCTTGAAGTAGGTTAGATTCCGTTTTCTGAAAGCGCCGTGAATGATGTCAGGTGTTAGCAATGATGCCATCCTCGACCACTTGGCAGAGACTCAGCTAAATGAAGGCTTCTGTGAGATTCTGTGTTTGGTAACTTCTGAACAGTGATGCCAGAATGCTGCAGTTGAGTGCCTTTCAAGTACTTTGTTAGTTGCATATATAATCATATATATATACACGTGTTTTGAGCCATGAATTAGGTTGTCAACTGGCAAAACCCTGATTTGCTAAGCCTCATGCGCTACTTTGTTTGACAGAGTCATTTGCCACTCAAATACTGCGTGCATATATATATATATATGTATATTCCTATAGTTGTACAAATATACATGGTTCCACCCCCTGGAACCTACCTTTGAATGTTCTTCGATTGTATTTGCATTTCTTTGTCTTGGGCAGGGCGCCATATATAGCACACACTTAGTGACACTCAGGACATGTGTCGATGCACATGTTCATGTGGTTGTGTGATTGATGACTGGGAACTAGTTCTGATTCAAGATGGCTCCAAAACCTTTTCTTCAACTGGGTGCAACTAGGAGCAACTGCCTCTGGATTGAAGGTACAAATTCAAAAATACTGGACAAAGTTCCGGAAATCTAGAATCTTGAATCCAGATGCAGCCTTCAGGTTCAACATTGCCGGGAAAACATTTCCCAAATTTTCAATCCTTGAATCCCACCATTCTTGCAACTAGTTGCAGCTAGTGCGCAACCAAGATTCCCCAGAAAAAAAAGCACAAAACAACAAACAATCTTGGTTCTTGGTTCCATGGAGGAGCCTGTTCGAACTAGTTTTCTCCAATGCTTTGCGAGCTTCAAAGTATGAAGCAGCCAAATGACCCTTTCAGCCTTTGATATAGTCACGCATTGATCTAGCGATCGACAGTAGCAATGCGGACATTTTTATTGATACTGTTGCCATCAGTACTTTTGGCGCAATTAACCTTGAATGTATTAAGTTCCTGATTGTTTTAGAGAGAATAAACTGCCAACAGATGCTTCATAAGTTATGAATCATACAATCTAACTGGATTTTTAGATGCTTGCTGGATGCACGGGCACAAAAGCATTACGACAAGTATTACAACTAAGGCTGTAAGCACTATTATGCAAGTTACTAAGTTGGATTTGCCTGTTTGGTAAAAGCAGCTCAAAACAGGCAAGCTTTGCACTTTGGCAAAAACTATGTCATATCTAATCCTTTCTTGCTGGACTTGCAACAGCAATATAAAAGCTGTCATGGAATATGCGTGATCTAAGGTCACTACATGTCGAGCTTTTTGTGTATCTAAAATGGCCTGGTTTGCAATACCCTCAACTACTAGGGGTCTAGAATGGGTGGTCAGAGATGGATTGGCGAAGGCCTAACATGGTCGCAAAGTGATTGTAGACCTTTTTGCTTTGATCATCGTAGAGTTTGAAATGTCGAGTCCGAGGGTTCTGCCAATGGTGCTGTGTACACATTGCCTGTTCGCGTGGCTGGTGAATGTCAGCCAGACCCTAGGGAGGCCCGGAGAGTATTTGATGGCCAAGTCGGCTCATATAGATGATAACGAACAAAATGTCAATGAGCAAAGCACCAAGGAAAGCGATCAACTAACAATCAAATCCAATTTCTTTAGCATCGCCGCATCGCCCAAGTTTTAGAAGACAACACTTTGCAAACACATGGGGTGGAACAATATATAATAAACATGTTTCTTTCTGTTCTAGACTTGGACCACCTACAACACGCCAAAAGGTGGGTACGGTACAAGGGGTGGTGGAGGGGGGCCAGCATACATACGTACATACCTACCGAACCTAACCTCCTTACCTTTATCCTACCTACCTAACTAACTAGCTAGCTAACTAACTAACTAACCTACCTACTACCTACATACCTGCATGCCTACATACGTACATGCGTATGTACATACGTACGTAGGTACGTGCGTGCACACACACTATATTATATTCTTTTTTGTATGTAATCACATGTACTTTGCAGTGATTGGCTTCGCCACCCACCGCTCTACATCAGCCCACGCTTGACCCGACATCAACGCAAGGTATATATGGTATATAAAATGTACAGGCAAGGTACTCGTATATGACATCCCAGTCGGGTTTTTGAAAACACCTGTGTGTGCAAGACCACGCATGCAAGCATCTTGCCCACCTCCGGAACCCTCCCTGCGGATGCATACGCAGATGCGCGACGAACCCTCAAAAAACTAGAACAGTTCTGACGTCGAAATTCCGCTGTGTTCTATCTAGAAAATGTCAAACATGTTTTCACGCCAATTGTCGGACAACAATTATATGTAAAACACACACCACCTGCAAGACTATATCTGAAGCAAAGACACGTCTGTCCATGTATGCCGTGCCAGATGAACCACATTTTAACAACTTCAAGACGGCCTCTGTACCATGCCAATATGGGTCCATCTCACTTAAGCGAACGGGAAATAGCGCGCTTATGCTCTGCCCAGTGCTCTGCCCGGGCTCTGCCTCCCGCGTCCGAGGAGCAGCATCCGGAGCTTCCCTGGGCAGTGCATGAGGATCTCTGTGCGGAGGTTCAGCAGCTCCTAGCGACGATGGTCTCGGAGAAGGCCGAGAGGCGCGAACAGAGGGCCGCACGGAGGGCAGTGAAACCGTGTCGAACAGATGCTGAGTTTGTTTAGGTAGAGATAATAATGAAAGCTTGGGGCCTATCGTAGGAGATCTCGTGCAACTTAACTGATCAGACGACAGGAACGTTGGATAGGAATAGACGGAACATGCTTGCCCTTGGTCTTTGACAGGCTACGCTCTAACCTGCAGAGCAAGCAGAAGCGGCAGTTTGAACAGGCCATGAACCTGTGTAGATTTCGTTTAATTTGAGGGGTAACTTGCCGCATCTTGCAACTGATCCGGAAGCTCTGCTTGATCGCTTGATGGACCCGTTCAGCAGTTCAGCACATCAGCCTGGCGCTTCAGGCTGGCCGGCTGGTGCAAGAGCGGTATGAGAAGTTGGTTCTGGGCCTTCGCGCATTGGACGCGGCCAATCAGAAGCAGGACAGCCATCGCCGCCAGAGGTCGAATCGGCTCTCCGTCTTATCAACAGATGGGCCTATGAGTGGGGTCGGATATGGGGCCGAGGATATAAGTTTCGCCTGGATAAGTATAGGCATAGGTTATACCTTATAGCTACCTAAGTGGTAGACTTAATGAGGCCATTTTTCGAGAAATACTGAGCCACACTGAGTGACAGTTGGACGACAGTTCTCCACTGCGGCAAGGACTCTCCATTGTACCAGAATCTGGGCTGCACATGATGACATTTGACGTTTGAGGTTTCGAAAGGTTCCCAAGTGTTCATAAGTTTTCGAGTGATTGGTTTTGTGGAGGTCCTCATGATAGTCATCATCTCCGGCAGAAACTGTAGCTGAGGGTTCCCTTGATTTCGGAACACCTGCAACTGATCAACCAATTCTTGTTCTGCCCGCAAAAGTGGTCAGAAGCCGTGCCGTCTACGGCCTCCAAAGAGCGGTAGGTCGCCCGGGTGACTGGCGCCGGGTCGGACTAGTCAGACTAGTCGGGCTCATGTCGATTGATGGTCAAGATATCAAACTTTCCATGTGACTGCCACTTAATGATTCATGCCATTTATATCAATAAGTTTGTCCTGGTTCAAAGGGCAACCAGGTTCAAGTGCTTGCCCAACAAGGCAGCTGGTCCGAGATGTGGTCGCTGAGCCTTTCCACGCGATGCTCGCACTTAGACTTCAAGAGGCCGGCCGCTCGACCGGAGCGAAGAAGAGTTCAACTGGGCACTGAGGTAGGGCCCACGTGAGGGAAAGTTCCAGGTCAAATTCATGAAGAAAAGTCGTGAAAACTCACTGAGAACTTTGAGGGGACCGAGGCCTTATGTATCCTTGTGTTCAGTGGATGAAGCACGAAAAGTCGGCTGCAAAAGGGTCCGCCACTTGTTGAGTCATCCATCATCCACTTAGTTGAGTCGAGGCCACTGGAACGGCTGTGGAGGTGACGGCCGCCAACCGGAAGTGGCTTGGTCAGCATGCCGGGGCTGATGTGAGCGTTTTGATGTGATTGGATGTGTGGGACGACTTGTGTTGGATGTGTGGGACTCATGTTTCCATAATTTCATCCTATTTCCGGGTTTGGGGAATAGGGGGAGGGGTCAAAACGAAGAAGAATGCCTGGTGGGGAACCAGTTTCCTGCAAGTTGGGGGACTGAAATTTCCGGATCCTTTCGTGTTTCGACGAAAGGTCCATGGAGGTTTTGACCGTTGGACCACGCAGGTCATGCATGGAGAAGCTCTCGGAGGCGGAGAAGAAGCCACCGCAGTCGCTCCAAAGGCGCAACGGCTCATGCAGGGCTCAAAGCTCGGAGGGCTCTCATCCGAAGGAGCTGCCCATGTGTCCATGATGTGTAGAGTACTATGAGTAGGTGATGCAAAAGATTAATTACACGCATCAAGACATGCGCATCATTGATGATAAATTATAGAAGTAGACTGAAGGTGGCTGAAGGTGGCTGAAGTAGATGTGGATCATTTACTCCACACACACGTTTTAACTGTAGCACCTTCACGATAGCTTTCTGCAATGGTCTCAAGTCAGCACCGCACCGGCTCCACCGGCTCCACCGGCGGCGCCAGGCTCCTGGCGGCCTTGAAAAAAGACTACAAGGACCGGGTGAACTCCGAATCGGATGCGAAGCAAAGCGATGCGAAGACACGAAAGCGATGAACGCCGAAGGGATGTCTTTGACGATGAAAGCGATGGTCGCTGTCTAAGACTTTAGACAGATTTTGACAGCAACCTCCACTGCAAAGGAGAGCAATCAGACCAAAAAGACTAAAGAGGGCAAAGATGGCGAAGATGGCAAAGAGAAAGAGAAGGTGCAGAAAGGCAGGACGATTTTATGCCGCTTTGTGGGATTGCAGCCTGTGTGGGGTGGTGCATTGGTGCCTCAATCGAAATTGGTCCCGTGTGCTTTCAGGACAAATTGTTGGTTCAAACTTGTTCAAACCAATGAAATCCCTTTTAGAAAAGCGACTCCAAGCCTTTAGAATGAAAGATCTTGAGTTCTTGGAGCAGGGGCTCTCCCGCGTGGGAGACTCCCTTGATTGAGGTGACGCCAGAGACATCTCCGAGCTCTACCATGCTGCCGCCCGCACCTTGTTGCCTCAGCCAGCGAAACCAGAATCAGACAGGAGCACTTATGATGACATCTTAGTGGAAAGGGTCGTCGGTGATGGCCCCCAAGGCCGACGATAGCCACATTTATTGCCGCAAAGTCGACAAGAAGAGGGAGAAGGCGCGCTGTGCTGATCTGTATGGTCTTTGCATTTGCATGTCTTTGCTATACAGTATATCTCCTAAAAGCAGAGCATCCAACTGTGGCACCCGACCGTGTTCACCTCGGTCCTTCAGGCGGCAGCGGAAGAGCAGCGCGCGGCTCTGAAAGAACGGTTGAAGGCGGCCGGTGGCCGGACTCGGTGGGGGGCAACTGCCCTGAACAATTCCACATGCGTTTTTTCTTGGCTTCCGCAAAAGATCTGGCCATATCTGGCCCACACTGGCCGAGGCAGCCCAAATGGACTTTTTATATTAGAATGCATGTTATACATATCGACTATAGAATTAGATATATAGAACTCACAGGAAACCCAAGACAAGCTTGCTAAAGAAGTACAAGTACAATCCATTCCGGCAGTTTTCGAAATCGACAACTATGGCCCGGCCAAATATATCCAAATGTGGGTTTCACGGGGTGCCACACCTGAAAGCAACAGCGTTTACATAGTTTTATCGCATTTGATCAGCAAGTGTCAGCAAGTGTTGATCGATACTTGTCCAAAAAAGTCCAAGTTGATACGGGTTCTATACGGTATGTTTTTTGCATTCTTTTGCCCATACCATACTGTCATTTACGTGTCAATTTTTGTCCAGACTGGTATTTGGAGCCTTCGAATTTCCGGGTGTATACAGTGTATACTGTTCTGCAAAAAAGCAAATCCGACTTCTATCGGAGTAACGATTGGTTAGTGCATGTTGGTGCTGGCGACTTGTCATCCATAAACTCATTTCGCCTCACAGGATGCCGACGCAGCTTCTGTGTGGTTCCTCAGAGAGAACAATGTCCAGAACCTGGGAGCAGGTGTGTGGGCTCGCCTTTTGTTTAGCCCATCGTTTATAACACGACGTGTCTTTTCAATGGTGGGTCTGTCAAAAGCCTTGAGCAGCTCAAGACATTCCTTTCAGTCTCAAAATGAGGGGGTGGTGAGACAGCAAGTGAACTGAATCCCTCAAAGACTACAGTTGACAGTTGCAAGAGTATATTACACAATATATTTGATGAGACTGTGACTTCATTATATATATATATATTCAAAGAGTATATAGTATATAAATAAACAAACAAATTATTGATATATCAAGGACGAGCAAATGAGCAGGGGACTTCCAAATTCCCCTTTTGGGGACGAATGAAGCGTCAAGTCCAAAAGGCTTTTCAGCGTGTCCGCGACCGGTGAGTCTTTCTGGGGCCCAGTGTGCGAGGACGCTGTGATGGTCTGCCATTTGGGACTGCAATTGGCTTTGAGTGCTGAAGGACGGGCCGTAGCCGTTCGGCACGGGGCTGAATACTCAAACCTTCGCAGGGTGCCAATTATGGCTGTACAGTAGTTGGTGTGCCGTGAAGTCTAATGGGTGTTGCTTGGTGGTTTGTTGTTTGCAAGGTTGCAAGGCTTTTGTTTGGCTGATTGTCCGAGAGAATCGCCGTGTAGCCGTGCCCAATCAGTCGGATTTCGGTGGAGAGTTTCTCCTTTTGTTTCGTCGAAGCGGGTGGAGAAACATCGCCAGTTTTGTGGTGATGTTTGAAACATCGCCACATGGCCGCCGATGTGAATTCTGCCCGCCCAGATTCCAGTTGATGAATGTTGTTCGACCAATCCAAACAAGACGGCAGGGGCCTGGGCGCTAAGTGGGAGCAATCCAACCAGGATTTGCACAGACAGCAAAAGAATATGCGAAGCCAAGCCCGGCTAAACTGTCTGACATCCGTTGGTTTGGCTGCCCCAAACAGTTGGCGGTATCCGCTTGCAGTTCGGATCCATGTTGGGAAATATGTTTTCAACATGTTTTGAGTGGTGTATCGATGCTCTAGAACAGCCAAATGACCTGGCTTAAGCCCGTCGCGAGGAGTCTCTTGTTTGGTTCTCCCCAGCGAAGTGTGGGCCCTGCGGCTGGCCGCAGGGATCCTGAAGGACGAGGAGGCGAGGTCGGACATGTGTGGACGCGTGTTGGACCATGGGGGCTGGACTGGACATGAGAGACATATATGATCATATATGGAGAAATCCGCTTGCAAAGCGAGGTCGGATTTCCCGGATGAGTCCTCGACATTTCATGTCAGTTAAGTGGCTGGCGATAGTTGATTTTGACCATTCCTCACCAAGACATCCGCACCTTTGTGGCGAGGACTGGTTCTCTCAGCAAAATCAGCGAACAAACCCCCCCCGGGCCATAGAAAACGTATGCTTGGAGTGGACCAGTGGAGACTCGAGTGGCTATCGCGAGGTCCAAGACCTGTGCTTGCGCCTGTGCGACCTTTGTGATGAGTCAGGCGTGTAAACTGCAGTCATGGCACGGATGGGCTTTTTGATGTCCTGTGTAATGCACACCTGAGCTACGACTCGAACAAATCCTCCTGAGCTGCGACGTTCAGTTGCGACTGGGAGATTTCACTGGGAGTCCGGCGCTTGCGCTGGATTTCTATCCCATGTCTTCTCGCTCTCTTCTGACTTTCTGATTCTTTGGATTACCCAGTCAATGGTTGAACAGTTTTCAGGCGATGCCACTCAGAGAGAGGCGGCCGCGGCTGCGTGGCAGACTCGCTTTCTGTGAAAAATGGTGGGGAAGTCACGAGAGATGATGACCACAGTTCTGGAGACAGAGTATCATAATCATATCATTTTCTATCATTTTATATACACAGTATATATATATATATTGCACAATATTGCATATATATATATACAATCAACTGACATGTTGTTTTAAATCAAGAGTTTTTCCCAGTTACTTTGGAACAAGGGGCATATGGACAGTGCTATTTGCAGGTTGCTCCCACGGTCCTACACCAACTGCCGCGAATACTCTCTTGAGTGAGTTGTACCCAGAAAGCATGTTGTTTTATGTGATTGCTCGGTGTTTTCAGCCATTCAGCCAAGCTATGAGCAACGATCCGTGGTAGACATCAAGCAACGTGAAGAGCTCAGGAACGTCAGCGGAGACTCCCATGCCTGGTCTGATTTGGTTTAGTAGGAGGGTCCTACCAACTCCCACATCAACCAAGGGCTTTAGCCGCTTTAGCCACAACTCAATGTGGTTTCTGGGTGATCTTTGCAACAGGTTCCAGTCAAGCCCCTTTGAAAGGGGCTCGACTGGAACCTGTTGATAGACCGAATTGGACTGACTGCACCCAAAGAGCCGAGAAGATCGGAGCATCGCAGAAAACGGTGCGGACTGAAGCTCTGAGCAGTGAGAGATGCGGCAAATATGTTCTTGCTACTAGTAGCGATGCCAGGAGCCCCTAGTAGCTTCTTGCTCCTAGTAGCGATGCCAAGAGCCCCTAGTAACTAGTAGCGTCCTTGCTCCTGGTAGTAAGGCCAGGAGGCCCTAGTAGCTTCTTGCTCCTAGTAGCGATGCCAAGAGCCCCTAGTA